GCTCAGTGGAATAAGCACTTCCCTGGCAAGCGCAAGGGCCTGAGTTCAATCCCCGGTTCTGCCAAAAAAAAAAAAAAAAAAAAAAAAAAAAAAAAAAAAGAAAAACTAATATGGCATATTTATTCTTTTCTCTATATCCTCAAGCTAAATGGGCTCTTCCTAACAAAATAATATCTACCTCAACACAACAGAGAAATTAACTATTGTATGTCTTCTATCTTTTGACCATAGACCTACAGTGGTCCTACTTCTCCTAGGATTTCTGCATGGTTCTTCTTAACAATTTTACATTTCACCTGGAGAATTTTAAGGTAGGTTTATTATTTTTAAACTTATTACATGTACTTAATTTTGAAAAATTGGAATGCACTATTGATATTCGATTGCTTATTTTCCTCTGTTCTTCCTTTCTGAGATTCAAGATTTGGCAATGTACATGAGAAAATACAGACAGTGCAAGGGACTGAAAGGAATTGAAAGACATGATAAATGTTTCAGTTTTAAAAACAATCATTACAGAAAATATGCATTATCAAGAACAAAGGAGCAAGTGTGATTGAAGCAAGAGAGTATTTTGAGAGATTAATGGCAATACATTTTTACTGTAACAAAAAATAATTTAAATATTCATCATATTTTATGATCATTCTATATTGATCAAACATTTATGGCAATATCTGTCAAATAAAATCATTACAGTTTGTCCTCATCTATCTTATCCACTGGCTGTGGCATGACTCTGGCTCCTCTTCAAAGTCTAAATGTTCACAAAAGGAAAATACTTTGAATCTATTCAAGTGTCATGAGAACCATCACAGTGCAAATAAACACATTCATGGGAGAGGACTTACTGCTTCAGAAAGTGAAATGGAAAAAAAAAAAGTGAAATGAATCATGGGATGTGTTCAAGGGGAGCCGAGTTTGGTGGCACTTCATGCCTGGCTTTGCCCCCCTGACCAGCCACAGCAGCCAGCAGTACCACACCCTGACAGATCTTGAGCTCACCCAGCAGATGTTTGATGCCAAGAACATGATGGCTGCCTATAGCCCCCGCCTCAGCTGCTACCTAATAGTGGCTGCAGGGTTCAGGGGCTGCATGTCCACGAAAGAGGTGGATGAACACATGCTTAATGTCCAAAACAAGAACAGCAGCTATTTTGTTGAGTGGATCCCCAACAATGTGGAGAGAGCTGTTTGTGACATCCCACCCCATGATCTGAAAATGTCTGCCACCTTCATTGGCAACAGCACAGCCATCCAGGAGCTGTTCAAGCACATCTCAGAGCAGTTCACGGCCATGTTCTGGCGCAAGGCCTTCCTGCACTGGCATATGGGGGAGGGCATGGATGAGAGGGAGCTCACTGAGGCTGAGAGCAGCATGAAGGAGCTGGTGTCCGAGTACCAGCAGGACCAGGATGCCACCGCTGAGGAGGAGGAGGCTGAGGAGGAGGTGGCCTAGAGCTGTTAGCTGGTGAAGTGTGGAAGTGGTATGAACTCTGCATTCACTCACAGCCTGCTCTGATAGCCCTGCCTCACTGTGTGCACTGCTGGCTCTGTCTTGACATCACATCCTGCACAGACACACCGTTAAGCCATTACCCTGTAATGCTAGCACTTGGGAGGCTGAGGAAGGAGGATCGTTCCAAGTTGGAGATCAGCCTGAACTGCATGGCACGACCCTGTCTCAAAAAGACAAAAAAAAAGAAGTGTTTGAAGCAAGGGGGAGTATTTCGAGAGAAGTAATGGCAGTGTGTCTTTTACTGTAATAAAATTTTAAAAATTAAGCAGCCCTCATCTTGATTTAGCTATTAAGCTTCCCTGTTAGTCTAGTCATTTGACCTTTCCAACTTTGATTCCTACAAGTAGCAACACTATCTGGGAATTCTAGGGACTGTTAGAAAAAACAAAAAAGTCGTCAACTGTCTTGAGTCCCAGGAATAACAACTTGATTATGTCAGTAAAATATATGTGTGTCTAGTTTTTAGTTTGTAGGAAGAGTTAGAAACTACTGTGTTTCCAAATATTCTTAATAAGAATTTATTATGGTATTAGTCAAAAATACAGTCTTTATGGTCTTATCCTAGACCTCATGAATCAGAAAGTCCAAGTGTTGGGAGCTAAGGAGTTATATTTTTAATAATATTCTTTGTGACTTACATCATCAGTAAAGTTATGAAAATATTGATATAGACTATCAGTGTTTGTTATATTGTATAAGTAAAATTTAAAATAATGATATTAGACTGGGCATGGTGGCGCATGCCTGTAATCCCAGCGTTTCGGAGGCCAAAAACAGGAGGATCATTATGAGTCTGATCTGTGTAGTGAGACTCCGTAGACCCTGTACTAAAATACATTTAAAAAATTAAAAAATAAAATAGTGATATTAGTCTAATAATTCAATTTTTAATATATACAGCTTCATGATATTCTTAGTCAAATTAAACAGTTGGTTAGTTTAATTAAATTTACACCAAGTATTTAAAAATTTATTAGAGCATTTCTTTTTTCTACAGGCTCCACAAAAGTCAAATTTCATTCTCATTAGTGAATAGGAAAGAACTACTTCAGGCTTGAACTGACAAAATCAGCAGAATAACAGCCAAGAATATTGTAAAGTACATTACTACATATATGTTAATGATAATTATTGACTGTAAGGGTTATAATAATAATGGTCTACACCTACAAGACTTGATTTGTGAGTTAACCAGGTAGCTGCTTTGTAATATGTGGTTAGCCAATCTCTCTAAGTTTCGTGGAGACAAAACTTGAAACATTGCATACAAACACAGTACAAAAATCCCTTCTTATTTGTGTCTAAATTGCTTTTAATTCTTTTTTTTTTTTTTTTTCAGATGGACTTCTAACTTCAGTTCCGTTTTAGGTTATGGCTTGTAATTCTACCTTTGCAATAACCCCTGAATTTTTTAGTGTTTGGCATCCGGATATTCATTTTATGTTTTATTGATCAGTGGGACACCAGCAAGTGCACCTTATGTAAATGACAATTGAATAAGCGACATTTACAGAACCTACTAGGAGATGGCTACTGCTTAATGGCCTGAGCATTGCTTGCTTCTGTTGATTCATTTGTTTTCTGTTTTGTCTTTGAGCTCTGTAATCAGCTAGAAGCATGACAATTGTTAGTGCCAAGTAGATGCTTTTCAGTTAAAAAGAGCCAGGCAGCTACTGGTTGCCCCAGGCCCAACCACCACACAGTGGCTGACGCTGTTTCAGAATTTAGTATGAGGCTTCTATTTTAGTTTTATGCCCGTCTCCTGTCAATGCAACACAAACACTGTCTTGTTCTCACCCAACAGAGTTAGTTGAAGAGGAATATGCTTTAGAGCTCTTAAGCCAGACAGTAGATAGTATCTGAAATCTGGATTATGCTACATGCATTTCTTTATATTATGTTTTCATATTTTATAAACTCATTCATTTATTGTGTATTTCTGGGGATTGGACCCAGGACCTTCATACTAAGCTATATCACTAGCCCTTTTTAATTTTTTATTTTGAGACAGGGTATTGCTAAGTTGCCTCATCTGTGGAATCAAAGTTGTGATCCTCCTGAATCAACCTCCCAGAGCACTAGGTTTACAGGCATGTGCCCCACACCTGGCTCGCATATTATTTTTTGCTTCTAATTAAAATTATATTTTTTCTTTAGCTAGTACCTTTCTCAATTTTTCCCTATAGCATAGTGCCTAGTAAAAAACGGTACCCACAGAGTCACTCAAATGATGCTTTTTATGAATAAGTGCAGTTAAATAGCTGTACCAGAGGACTTGTTAGTGACAACTTCTTTTCATTTCACATTCTACAAAGGCTATCTGTGAAAATTTTTACACTTAAAGTGTTTTTTAACATTATACTTAAAGTGTACTGTTTTGAAAGGTCTGAAACTACTAGCCATGTGAAATCTAAATATGGTCACTAGTATTGATCATCTGTCTTTGCAATGAATTAGATTCTCACTCTAGAGAAATTAGAAAATCTAGAAGTATACAAGAGTTTGAAATTTAAAAACTTAGGGGCTGATGAGCTAGCTCAGCGTCTGAAGCACCTGCTTAGGCAAGTCAGACAGGCGCAGGGGACCATGCCTGTTTGTTCCCTGGCATCATATACCCCACCAGTCCCGCCTTCAGGGCAGGCTAAGTTGGCTAGAAAAAAAAAAGGAAATAAATAAAAACTTAGCCAGTTTGCATAGCATTGTCTGTAGATTCTATATAGCTGTCATGCATTTGCTTATATTTTCTTTGGAATTCTTTTTGTTCTTCATTGTTAATGTTTGGTGTACAGTCTTCCAAGCGCTCTTACGCTTACAATGTGAATGAAGATTTATGTTCTACTCTAATTTGCTCCCTAAGTCCAGTATCTCTTGTAAAGATGCTGACTTCGGACGGAACGGCTGGCTGATGGCAGCATGAGGTGAGCTGCGCTTGATGGGGAGCTCAGACGTACTCTTTGTTTTCACAAATGAGCAAATTCTGCTTTCCTTTGTGATTTAAACCTCTTCTAGGGTATAGACAGTAGCCTTTATATCGGTTTTTCTCAGACTCTAGAATTCTAACCTTAGAAGGCTGTTTAGAAGTGTGAAAAATCCCCAGCCTAAACCCCAGAAATTCTCACTTACCAGGTAGCCAGACATTGGCCACCTTTGAGCAATCAGCATCGAACTCTGTTCTCATTCGTACCCTAAGCTTGCTTTCGAGGACTCTTCCTTGTGTCCAGCTACAGGACGCGTCAAGCAGGCCTGGCCTGGAGCCTGTCATCTGGAAGTCTTCTTCAGAAATTTCAGTCTACAGCAGGGACACAGTGACAAGGTGGACCCACGATGTTAGCAATGCCACAGGCAGACCGTGTTATTCCTGTAGTGCGGTTTTCGCTGTGGTTCCCCAAACATTCCCAGTCCAGTCACCAGTCAATTCTGAGAACCTCTAATGTCCTTCTAGTGCGTTCCTTCTTTTCCTAAGGTAACCCAAGTCAGTTTCTGTTGTTTGCAATCCAGAACTACGACCAATACAGGGCACCTACATTAGGGTCTGGGAACCCATATTTTTAAAAACAAGTTCTTCAGATAATTCTGATGTGGCTATGTCTTCAAACTTTCTATTCTATGTCTTTAGCATCCTTCATAGATCCTAGTATCACAGTATTCATGTAGAAAACAGTCAATACATTTTACCTGATAGATGAATGGATAAATGGAGAATTCCTTATAAAGTAGCCTATGCCAGTTAATTCCGACTGCCAATAAGACTGGATTAAGAGATCCCCAGAGATGACAGGATCATGAGGTGCTAGCTGAATGTGCTGTTAGAAGGCAGGCCCAGCTGGAGGAAGGGGTCACTGGGGCCCACCTCTGGAGGGGGCATCTCTTCTTGGTCTCTTCCTGTTCTTTGCTTCAGGGCCTATACAAGGTAAGCGGCTTTGCTCCATCACACGCTTCCACCATGACTATCTGCCTCATCACAGGCCCGCACTGATGGAGCTGGTGTCCACAGGCTGAACTCTCTGAAACCATGAGCCAACAGTAGCCCTTCCTCCCTCACGTTGCAAGTGTCGGGTACTTTCTTTCAATGATGGGAAAGTTGGCTAATATATAACCTGAACTCAGTCTGCAATTGCTAGACTTTTGTCAAGTTAATGTAGGAATATGACTTATTGTTCTCCTGGGGTATGCAGGGGGTCCCCAGTTTATAAACACTTTTGTTTGTGAACAGTTTGGTTCAAACAAATTGTTTACAAACAAAAATGTTTAGCAAAAGTTTGGTTTTGTTTGCAAATTCTGCATGGGGTGACAAACATGACTGAGGCCATTTTTCCTGCACAAACACAAACGTGGCCACCTTTTCTAGAATTGTGGGACAAATTAAATTTGAGAACCAACGTACCACTGTATGTGTAGGTTTGATTTCATGATAGTTGTAAATACAGTATAGATTAGAAAGAATACAATAGGTAGGAATTAATAAGAAATAATTTATGTTTGAATCTTGCCAGTGACAAAGAAATGAGATTTTTATAGGTATGGATGTAGGATTTTGTTTGGCTTTTTTTTTTTTTTCTTTCTAAATGATGGCTCAAATCTTTGAAATGTTTGTATAGTTCTTCACTTTATATACTAAAGAAAAAAAATTGGGCAGCTAATTAATTTTTTTTTTTGCATAGGTGGTTTTAAAAGTAGATAAAGCCAGTAAATAATGGGATTTTTTTTGAAGCTTTCACCTTGGAGTGACTTCTTCAAAAGCTAAAGATCATGCTATGATTGCTTTGCTTGTAGAACTCTTCCATTCATGACTTCCTCAGTGTTCTAATAAGTGCTTTAAGTACTGGTGGAAAAGCATTATAAGAACGTCCTTTATCATAAGAATACAGTCCTAAAAGCCTAGTGTGGTGACATATGCCTATAATACCAGCTATTTGTAGGAGGTTGTGGCAACACTGAGTTTAAGCCCAGCTTGGACAACAGCACCAAATGGTCTCAAAAAATGTCATTTTCTTCATAGGTCCTCAAGAAATGTATGTATCTGTGTACCCCTAGACTTCGCTGAACTGC